GTATTTTGTTGTTTCTGCCACAATTTCCGACTGAAAGACTCCCAGATTGACATTTCGGAGTTTATTTCATATAGACGTACAAATTCAATAGAATACCAAATTTTCTTTTCTGATGACACATAGGTTGGGAAAGTGGACTTGGGGTATACTAATGTGGGGACTATACTTAAATAAATGCCTATGTGGATAATTATCTGTAAGATGATTTTCTACCCCAGGATGTTTTACCCCAAGTAGCCTCAAGACTAAGATGCGAAATTTTCCAAAAAATAAAAATTTTATAAGAAGAGATTTTCTTCCCCCGGTCCGCGTTGCCGGCCCGTACTTTTAGTCTTTAAAGCATAATAAATCACAGATCTGACTTATGTAGGCGGAACAATTTTGATTATAAGTAATGACTCCATTATAATTACTCCAGTTTTGATTTTAAGTAATGACTTGATTATGAGTAATGACTCCATGACTAAATATAAATTAATATTCATGGCAGAAATTATAATTACCGTCGGTTTTAGATATTTTGAATAGCCTGATTTTATTTTTCAGCTATAGGCTTTAATTTGAGTGTTAAATACCTATATGATAAAGAACATCTATAATAGCCCCATGTGAAAATTCAGCTCAATTTTTGATATTGTAAAAATTGAATGCTTTAGCTATAATTTGAAATTTGTATTCCCAACGTTTAAAATCCCGTACTGGGTGGTATTCAGTTTTGTTCACCTCTTACTTGAAGGCAGAATGTTGTCAGAATAGCCAAAAAAATACTCTTTTGCTCCGATTACCGTAAGATGAGCATTAATTGTTTGTCATTTAAATTGTGCGGCGGAGATCCAATAAAGTTACTTTATAATTACGTATTTTTTCATGTTTCTTCCACAATTTCCGACTGAATGAGTCCCAGATTGACATTTCGGAGTTTATTTCATATAGACGTACATTCCAAATCTACGTTCCCAACCAATATTCTCTTGGGGGTTACAAATTCAATAGAATACCAAATTTTCTTTTCTGACCACACATTGGTTGGGAAAGTGGACTTGGGGGTATACTAATGTGGGGACTATAAATAAATTCTTATGAGGATAATTATCTGTAAGATGATTTTCTACCCCAGGGTTTTTTTCCGCAGGTAGCCTCAAGACTAAGATGCGCACTTTTCCGAAAAATAATTTTTTGCAAAGATGGTTTCTTCTTAGATTATCAACATAAGCTAAAATTAGTACGAAAAATATGGTTAAAATGTAGAATATACTTGAAATGGGGTTGTTTCGTTATCAGGGGTTATCATCCATATTATGACCTGCCAAAGCGATTTAAGGTATCTTGAATGTTTATGTAGAATTTCTATTTTGCGTTCTTTATAGTCGGTATTTGACTGATTGCAGTCCCAATGTATTTTGCATTTTGTGTTTTCATTTGACAATTTATTGTCACATGAAAGAAGCAGGTCCACTTTTTGAAATTAACCCCATAACGCTTCTTCGGTCATTTTTGTTTGTTTAAATGTGTTCGCATCTTCCAGCTGAAGCACGATGTAGGTCCTGGAGTAGAAGGCATTTAACATCGTATTGCGCTCTCATTTCATTTTTATATTATTCATTCAGAATTCAAACCAATAAAAAATGTACACTTCAATATAGAAAAAAGAAAAAGAATCTTCAACTGGTTCGCTGATTTTTTGGGGCAAATTTTTAAAGGTCCTTACGAAGTTTGTCTGTAGAATGTACTATTATTTTGGAATTCGATTCCATTGAAAAATTGTCGATTTTTCCCGATTCTAGAATTTTCGTATAAAGCAACAACGGATAAAATTGTATTGATTGGGTATTACGAATAAATACATAAAATCTATAAATAACAGTTTTATCCGTTGTGGCTTTATATTACCCAAAAAAAACCTACACATCATATTAGAATTCAAAAAAAAACAATATGTATATATATATATATATATATATATATATATATATATATATATATATATATATATATATGATTTATATATATGTATATATATATATATATATATATATATATATATATATATATATATATATATATATATATACATATATATAAATCAAGATATCGGGTTGAGAATTATTACACGAGATGCTGTTGGCTTTCCATCCAACCCTAAGTACTTATTTAGGGGCTGAGGACCGCGCCTACTTATATATATATATATATATATATATATATATATATATATATATATATATATATATATATATATATACACTTTTAGAAAAATAAACAAATCGTTATTATTTTTCCCGTTTTACATGAGGGGTTTCATTCACTTTTAAGGAACTAAAAATAAAAATACAAAAAATAATTTTGAACGAAAAATAATATGTGGAAAACTAAAGTGACCCAATTTTTGCTTGGTCAAAACTAAAGCAACTTTTGATTTTTTATTTTAAAATAATTAAATTTTGGCTAGTAGTCGATAGCATAACCATTATTTTTGAGAGCAGCTGCACACCTACGAGGCATTGAATCTATAACACGCTCTATTTGATCCTTGGGTGTGCTTTCCCAGGCACCCCGAATTCTTTAGAAAATGTTGTGCTTATTTATTTCCGAATCTCTCTTGATCTTCCTATCTACGATACTCCAAAGGTTTTCTAAGGAGTTTAGGTCGGGTGATTGTGCCGGCCATAACAAAACATGAATTTTTGACTCCCGCAACTAATATTTTTCACGTCTGAGCCTTTAATATTAAACGTAGACTCATCCCAGAAATAATAGAACTTTTTTAGTAGTAAAACTAGCAGAAGAGAGAACAGTTCGAAATGTCATTCTCATTTAGGTTTACTCAAAAAATAAGGGAACGGAAAATTAGCAGAAATGTGATAAAATGTCAAAATTCAAAATTCCGAAAGTAAACAGCCTAAATCGGACTGGTGAAACCTTAGAGAAAAGAGCGCCAACATTTAAAAAATGAGTATTGAAGAGGATAAGTTAAAATTAATAATTTATAATAATAATTAATAATCTGATTCCTCATTCAGCCAGTCCTCTTCACTGCTGGAATCATCCAAAAGTGAATACATCAGTTGCTCCATATTTTCTCTTTTTGTTTTTTGCACGACAAATATTAGTTTTTCCTTTAGTTTTCAAGTTGATCATTTTCTTTATTGAAATGTATCAATACATTTTTCAACCTTGTTAGCCCTGCCAATTAAATGTCAAATTTACAATATGCACATTTCTGCTCGGCCAAATTCATGTAGCTAAAACAAGCAGAAATGTGCACCACTCAGCGCCATTTTTTTCTCGAGAGAGCTGCAAGTTTTGCTAGTTTTTGGAGTACGGGAACGCGTTGTAGCAGAATTAGTGCTAATTGTACTAATTTGCAGGTTCTGGAACACAACTATTGTTTTTTCCATTGAGCTTGATTCCACTTAATATTATCGTTTCCGAAAGCCTTTTTGATTTTTTCAGATATAAATGGTTTTTTGATGTCTTACGGGCACGCAGACCAGCTGCCACTACTCGTCTACGCACTGATCTCGAGCTTATATCCAATGATTGCTCTCTCATCAATCCAGTTGAACTCTTAAATAGTTGTTTTTTATTTCTCTCACAATTTGTGGATCACTACGAGATCACGGCCTTCATCCGTTATAGACTGTTACTACTGATCCAGTTTCAAAAAACCGATTTAGTATACAGAAATAATTATGAAATCACATAAATATTTATGAAATATTTCTCGGATATGTTGTTTCTCTGTGATATGTTGTTTTGATAGTCACTGATAATTTGCGATAAATATCACAGTAAAAACAACTGAAATTGCAGCGGTTATATGAATGTACAACAGAGTTGCTTTTGTTTTGTCCAAGCCAAAATCCGGTTAATTGACTTTACCAAACATTATTTTTTATATAAAAATGAATTTTGGTTTTATATTTTAGCTTTTTAAAAAGTGAATAAAGTACCTAATTTAAAACAAGAAAAACTTTCTCATTTCTTAATTTTTGAAAAAGTTACGGGGCATTCATTCTCCTTGTAATTTCAGTTGCTTTAGTTTTGGCCACCATATATACACTGGTGGCGATATATACATATATGCACAATTATCCCAATTTATATGGGAGCTATACTAATATCTGAACCGATCTTCACCAAATTTGGCATACTAGCTTCTACACTTCTTCTTCTACACTCTACACCATTTGGGCAAATATTAGACGTTTGGTGTACAATAAAAGGTAAATCGGACGAAATTATATATGGGAGCTATATCTAAATCTGAACCGATCTTGATAAAATTTTGCAAAGGTATTTCTGAGCTGCATTTGATATATTTACCCAAATATTGTTGTTACAGTGCATATTACGGCTGCGGAGGACAAAAATAACAAATCGGTGAGCAATATATATGGGAGCTATAGCTATATATGAACCGATTTCTATCAAATTTTGCACACTTATTTTCAGGCCTAATTTGGTTGCATATGCAAAATTCCATACTATTCGGGCTGATATTACACGTTTGGTGCACAATAAAAGGCAAATCGAACGAAGATATATATGGAGATCCTCAAAATTAACTATGGGTCTATCTCGCTTCCTTCTCCATGTTACAACCAAATGCACAAAGACATAATACCCTTACCACTATGTGGTGTAGGGTATAAAAATAGGCCGTTAATATCGGCTTTGTTTCGTTTTGTATTTGGAGAAAATACAGAACAAATGGGTTGCAAACGTTACCCTACGCTCCCTTGTTCTGATTGTTCTTTTATTTTTTTTGTGTATCTGCACCTATAATCGTTATTTAGCTTCGAGTTGGATTATAATCATGTCTCCTATCCATCGTAAACACATTTGAATGTTTTCCATTTACAACATGTGTTCGTAATATGCAACAATGAAGCACAAATCAACAGTTACAAAGTTGCAGGACAATGTTGCATATCCAAAAAGGCCCTTTAACAAATCCTCTGAAATAACCCTCATTGCCTTGAAAGAAAATAAAACGATTTGATTTACATGTGAATGTATTTATTTGCGTTTTGACGATGTTTTTTTGTTTCGACACATTCGATAAATTATTTCGTTTGTTATTCGATAGATATACGTTGAAATATTAATATTTAGTTAGTTTTAAATACATACAATAGATTAGGATTGAAAAATAATTGGAAAACAATATGTATATTTGAAAGTTTATTATGTTTGTGGTGAGTAAATGTATATGTCTGCATTTAGTGGTACATTTTTTTTCTCGTTTAACCATTTGAATACGGTGTTAATTGCAGAATACATTATGAAAAGGAGAGGCTGGAAAAACAAACAATAATTTCAAATATGTTTTTGCAAACGTATGCGTATAAATAGACCTTCAACTCCATCAAACCAAATGTCGGTCGTCTGATAGGTCTGCACATAGTCCGAACGAGTCCGGCAGATTGCTATCTGAAATCTGTACGGTAGAATAATTTTGTTTTTCTGACATTTTGCTCTCTTTTAAGACAATTTTATATGTTTACTTGTGATTTAAAGCTTCTTTTTTTTGAAGGTGTTCTTGCACTCTGGATTTGTTGTTCTTTTAGAAGACATTTAAAAGTATGGTTGTGTTTTAGACACTGCATATATTATAGTACAATTTTTTACTTGGAATCCGTTCCCGTACACGAAAACCTAGTAAAACTTATAGAATAAAGTTAAATTTGAAGGATTGATATCTAGACATTAGACAGTTTTACTGATTTTCGTTCCCGTACTTTCTGGACAAATCAGTTCTCTCTCTTTCTTGAATGAAAAATTATTGAAATTTGTAAAAATTGTTGAAAAATACATATCATTACAACCTCCCATTTGCGTCGTATAAGAAAACATATAAAAATCTACTTATTTTTGACAAAACACTTTAACATTTTTTTTTAAACTATATTCTTCTACCATAAAAAACAGGAACACAACATATGTGTGAATCATGAAAAATATCCTTATGTTGTGCAAGATCACTTCAGAATTCAACGAACAAATCACAAGTCCATACGATATTACTTCCCAATTAGATTCGAGAGTTTGGACGTCAACCTCCAAATATAAACTTCGGACAGACACCAGAAGCCGAGCTCGTAATTTGCTTTGAACTCACGGTCTAAAGTCGGAAAAACTTGTACAGTTTGGTTGGCTGGATTGTATCATAGCATTTATTGTGTTTGGTGAACATACATACGTATGTGTGTTGGTAGTTTGCTCGTCTAATGTACATATTTCAAGGGCTAGTATTTGTTTGTTTTCCCATGTTTTAATTTTATTTACTTGTCGTTTATTTAGTCTAACTTATTGAACTACGTAGTGTGGTGTGTGTTGTGTATATCTATATTTATATATGTATATATTTATTATAGTTACTTAATGTTATTATTTGAAATAAATATCTTTTTATGGAATTTTGTTTTTTCCTTTAATTTAATATTTTTACATGCGACTACCCAGCTTAGATGTCAGTTCGTTTAAATGTTCCATTCAATTTAAAATTCTTTCTTAAGTTCACCATTGAGCTTTGTTTTTGAAGTTTCTTTGATTAATCTAGGTTCTTTTGCAACGATTTGTTGAAAAATTCGTTAATAATAGTAAAACTCTTACATTATAAATACATCATAGTTTGTATACATTAAAAATACAAATAAATATTTTCACTTTTTTCGGTATAGGGGCTACGACAGCCCCTGCTACCGAATTCTCTGAGGGGATCGAGGGGATCTGGCAGTCGTTCGTCTGTCGGTCGGTGTCGTTGAAAGAGTAATTGGAGGTGCGTTTGACATCATGCGTTTTAAGTTTGTTCCGCATTACAAGTGGTTGTTAGTTGTTGGGTCCTAGGTACATATCTGATGCCGCTAGCGGCTTTTAAAACGGCGAAACTTTATGTCTTCCGGGATTTTTAAATTCAAATTTAGTGATTCTTTGACTTCTTTGATTTACATGTATTACAGGCTGTTGATTTGAGGATACGTTTACATGTTCTGGTATGGCTTTCCGTCCGAACGTTTGTTTGGTCAGGTATGTACGCAGTTGTCACTGCATCGTAGTTAGCAAGGTTTCAAAGAGAACAAGTGAAAAGTATGCTTGGAATTGACTCTCGGAATGAATATTAAAGATGAATTGAATTAGATTTCGTTGTCATTGATGGCTTTGCTATGTATGTGCTGAGGTGAGCTCCAGTGTATTTTCGTATGTGCATAAGTGCTTTTGTTCTGTTCTGCCTGGGTAGCTGACACATTATTATTAATTTGTCTCATATGAGCGTCGTACAAAGATAAGTATGTATGCATGTATGTAGTAAGTAAAATATGTTCTTTATATATAGTTAGTATAGAATGTATGTGCATGAAGGGATTAGATCTTTATATGTCAGTTGCAACTGATTATTATGAGGTTATATTTGTATAAATAATAAAAGTTTCGATGTTAATTATGAAGTATGTAGTTAGTGTTTTTTATGTTAGTGTTTTATATGTTTGAATTCATTAGGATATAAACAAGTGGATACAGACATTCACATATGGGATCATACATGTTAATATGTATTCATTTGTTATTTATTGCGGATTATAAAGAAATATGTATTTGTTTGTATGCGCTTTGAAGTCAAGTCCTCTAAAGGTAGGCATTAGGAAGGAGTTAGAATAAGGATAACAACGACAGTGGCAAGAAGAACAAGTTCGACGGGGTATTCAATTGCAGGGGGATAAACAATCGAATACCCTTGTTGTACTACCAGTGCATAAGACGCAACTGGTCAAGGATGCGTTGCTTGAAGAACGTTCCCAGCATGCCGAAAACTGTGGAAATGGCAGCAATACCCATCATGGCCTGCATGATGCAATGTATGCCGGATAGATCTTCATCGTTTTGCTTTTGCCGATGTCGTTGTCGATGATGACGACGTTCTTCGTATTCACGCAGTCTCTGCAGGCGTTCTAGCTCTTCGTCAAAGTGTGGTATGATTGCAAGATTGACCACCTCAGTCTTCGATAAAATGTCTTCGTTGGCTATTTGGGAACCTTGGTTGTTGTTTTCCATTGCATTAGTACTCATTAGATTTGTATTGAGTTGCGATTTGGCTTCTTGTTCGCGGTGACGGGTTCGTTCGTCTAACATCGTATTGTCTCGACTGAAATCGAAATCGAAGTTTCTCGATCGCGATGACGTTGGATAATCGGCTAGATTTACTTTGGTCAGAAAATGTAGAGTAGTGGAATCAGAGTTTTCGACATTAAGGCTGTGAATGGGCTGGAGTGTTTGTTCTGTGGACGAGGAGGAGGAAATATCCTTAACACGGAACTGTTTGAACTGGTTCTTTTTAATGCCAAGTACCTCGGACAACGGTCGGTTGATCATGGGCAGAACGGAGTCTGTTGGTCGTATTATGAACGACCCCGTTGTAGGAGCCGTTTCTGGTGCTGGTAGAATTGCAGCTTGTTCCTCTTTTGCACTGGTTTTAGATGTTTGCGAATTTTTGTTTGAATGGTCATTCGCTGAGCCAAATCTAAGTTCTTCATCATCATCTACATCTGAAGACTGTTCTGAGTCATCATATTCGTCACTGCTACTATCAACCCCGCTGTTTGTTTTCTTTTCGGAATTATGCTCGGAGTTCTTGTTAAATTTGTGGGTTGTAAGGTTTCGTATCGGTTCATATTTGGAATTTTCGGAGTCTCCGCGATAAAGCAGGGCAACCTTGCCATCGGGTGTTAAGACAGGTGTAATTTTCGGATGAGAGGACGCCAAACGATGACTGCTCTCCGGATCGGGCGACAGGGCGTCAAAATCTGTAAAAGATGTGGACTTCTTTTCGTTATTTTCTACTTCCTTGTCTTCGCCATTTGTTGGTGTCTGCTGGTATACGATGCCAACTTTTCCCAACGGCGTGGAAATTATTTTAATGGCATCGTTTGTATTTTTGCGGAAGTAACGGCTATTTGACTTTCGTTTCGAATTAAAGAACCCATCGCTGTCTTCGTCGTCATCGCTGTCGTCATCATTATCTTCATCATCGTTAGCAAAATTGCCGCTGCTTTCTCGCAAGTCATCCTCCCCTTCGTCACCACTTGTATGGTCACCAATCAACTTTTGTTGTTTTCGCCGGTACTTGTTTATGTAGTCAAATCTAAACATGTCCGTTTGTTTGTCTTTGTGTGTGTTTTTGGATAATCTGCCGAAGTTACCACTGCCTTCTTCATTCACAAATCCTTGTTCGTGGTCTATATTTGAACGGGAACGCGCTTCCTTAGGCCGTTCTACGGCAATGGCAATACGTTCGTCGTCCTCATCATATCCCATGTCTTCTTCCTCCTCATCCAAGTTTGTGGATGACTGAATCAGACCCTTAGCCTCGGGCAACAATTCGGGTCCCCCATCTTTGTCATCCTCGCTCAAATCTCTGTCGTCGTCCTTGTCATAAAGTCCATCGTCGTCTTCCTCATCGTCATCATAGAAGTCAGTACTCGGATTTAATTGCATTTCTCCCGTATAATCGTTAGTCACGTCTTCAGTCTCATATTCGCTCATATAGTCGTCGTCTTCATCCAACTCTGCTTCACGATCCTCGCCGCTTATACTAGAACTATTGCTGTCATCCTCCTGTTCTTTAAATGTTTCCCCAATTCTTCGTTTAACATATTCATTAAATATGGTTTCTGTGACCTTAAAGCTATCCCCTAAAGTATAATTTCTATCTCTAAAACTATTACTACTACTATTATAATTACTACTATTATTATTACTATTTAAAATGGTGAAATTTTTATCTAAGCTGCTGTTGTTTATATGGGTAGTCGCATCTTTCAGTCAGTAGCACTTCTTCGTGCACCCGCACTTTCTTACGATGTCGAGATTTTTAATATACTTCCTATTGTTGCTGCACACCATGCGCACCTGAGAAAAAATATATAAATGCATTTATATAATGTTATAAACTTTTTATGTATGTTATCGTTCATAGCGACGTGATAAGACTTACCTTGCGTCTTCGTACGATTTTCGCAGCACAACATTGATTGCCGCAGCCTCCAACGCATTTGGCGTATTTCAGGGGCTGTCTAGACCTGCAATCATTTTCTGTGTAATACTCCCTCACTTGTTCCTTGCGACATGTCGACGTGACTGCAAATAATGACAAAAATTGGTTGAAGAATCGGTTTTTAAGTAAGAATGAAAGAAGTTTTAAGATGCGACAAATACGAAAATGTGGATAAAATCAATTGAAAATAAAATTTTTATTACGTGCCGTTTCATGGTACTTGCAATCTACCGCTAGCAATTCGTTGTTCGGCCCTTAATTATGGAATAAATAGCTGATCAGACGAAATTTATTGATGAAGCAACTAGTTTTTTCCATGGTATAATAAAATGGTATGGTGGAGCCATGTTGGAATCAAAAAGGTAAAGTCATGAAAACATTTGTTTATTCTTTTGAATAGCAAAAACAATGATTAGAAAAAAAACGCACACTGCGGGTGCGTTTGGATTTATTTTACCATAGAATTGAAATATTTAAGAGATCAACTATTTCAAAGAAAATGCAGATATTTCATTCATCTAAAAATATTAAATAATTGAGAAAAACTTATTGCATTCAATAATTAATAATTCAATAATTCTGACAGAAAGCGGACATAACCTTAGGGTTGTATTTGAGTAGTATTGTACCATAAGATTTAGCATTGTTCAACTCAAATCACTCTTTGAACAATGATAAAAAGGATCCATGCCTAACAAATAAGTACATTTTTGTTGTGACATTTGAAAATGTAAAAAATGAAATTTTACAACATGGAAAATTAAAAGCATGAATGAGTATTGAACGGCGTATATACATGCAAACGAAAAAATAAATTAGTTTTCACAAATAATGCAAAAATTTTGTAACAAAAAACATATTGTGTGAACTTCTGCATTACAAAAAATAAATAAATAGAAAAAATAAAAAATAATAGAATAATAATCACAACGTTTGGAACTAGTAAATATTATATTGGGATAATTTTAAAGTTTTTGAAGATTTTCATGGTTTAATTAATTGCTTGAAGTTCTGGATCTTGTGTATTTTGATAATAAGTAATACACATAATTCTAATTTGAAATATAAATAAAGTCAAATCACAACAGTGAAAAAAAGAATAAATTTATTGTCAAGTGTTTATCAAAGGTAGCCTACTCGTCCGACCAGCTATTGGCCTTGTTTCAAGGCGTATTAAATATGATTCGTTTCAAAATGTTGCCGTGAATGATGAATAGTGTCGTGTGAACTAGTTGATTCGAATACCATGGAAACGTGCTGTTAGTAATGGTATTTATGATGAATGAATGATTAATACCAGTATTTGTTGGGGGCTCTGTGGTGGTGCCCTCACCTTGATCACAATAACGCCCTTTTTGGCCGTGTTTGCACTTGCATTGGTAGCCGTCTCGTGAGCTGGAATTCGGTACGCAGCGACTCCCTCTTCGGCACTTGTTATTTTCACACGGATCAACCTTTAGAAGATTAAACATTATTAATTAATATTACAAATATATGAAGGCAGCTTACTTCTTTGCTTATGTGCGGAGTTTCGTCCATGAAGTCTTGCTCATCATCTTCGACATTCTCTCCTTCCAACAAGGCACAACCAGGTGTAATTTTTTGTTGGCGTGCCGCATTTTCAAAATCTACAAGCTTGTGATTAATCCAGACTTCACGCATGCAACCTTTGAAACTTGTGAGATTGCGTAGCTGCCAATTTTTATAGGCTTGTTGGGCAGGATCTGGGGGTAATCCTCCCAAATACAGGGGTGTTGTGAGTTTTAAATACTCATTTTGGCCTTCATTTATAATCGATCTTGCTAAACCACGATCCACCCTTAACGTAAAGTTCTTTTTGATAGACAACAGCTCGACTGAATGGTACTTACTGTCAGCTACCATTTCAAAACTGTACATTGTCGATACTGGATAATTACCTACGTCGTAACTAACCCGAATTCTGCCGTTAAAAAGTTCCACAGCCCAATGTGCATCTTGGCCGTCGTACATAAGGATGCCATTTTGTTCCGAAGTACTGAAAACAATCGTCACATTGGCGTCAGGCTTTGTGCGTAAGGGTTCCATTTCAACGAATGAGTTGTTGTGCACGAAACTTATACTCGTCAAGTATTCGCACCATTTGCCGGTGTAGCCTGGATGACACTTACATAAGTAATCTGAGCCGGATGGATTTGGTTGGAAACAAACCCCATGCTTGCACTCATGATTTTGACACGGAGACGTCTGTGGATACATCATGGATACCATATTGTGTCCTTCACAATACTTTCCAGTGAAGTCGTCGGGACACATACAGACATAATCGTTGATGCCATCCACACAAGTTCCTCCGTTTTGACATATGTGATTCTGACAATCGTCTATGTTGTCTGTACAATTTATTCCGTGGAAGCCTGGCATGCATTCGCACGTGTAGTGAGTGAAGTGGTCTTGACATTTGGCCCCATTAGCACATGGATTGAATTCCGGACTGCAGAACTCAATTTTCGTATCACAATATTCACCTAAAAAGTTAAAAAAAATTAAGTTTAGTTTCGACAAAGCGTAATAGTTATTTGACTTAAACTGCACTTACCGGTAAATCCAGGTTGGCATTCACATGTGTACGACTCAATTCCATCAACGCAAGAGGCGTTGTTTTGACACTTAATTTCACCTAGGCAATCATCGATATTGGTTTCGCAACGCGCACCAGTATATCCGGGAGCACACTGGCAACTGAATCGACCCTCCTCCAGTACAGTACATGTTGCATTATTTCGACAGGGGTTTCCATAACACGCATCGATCATAAATTCACAGTGTTTTCCGTGGTAACCAGGTTGACAGAGACACTGATAGTCCCGCTCTGGCAAGGACACACATTTGGCCTTATTCTGGCAGGGATATGTAAAGCAAGCGTCACACTTGGCCAGTATACTGTTACTCACTTTGCCCTTGCATACAAAACTGTGCGATGGAGTAGAAAGGATCAGCTTATCTTTCATATGTTCAGGTTCCGAACAGCTCGCAATACCAGGTTCAATATAGTCCAATTTCACCCAATCGGCGAACCATTTTAATGAGCAATCGCAATACAAGGGGTTGCTCCCTAGGGCTCTAAGAACAAATATCATCAAAAAGCTGTTAAAGTACATAGATATCTCTCGATACTTACATGTGTGTTAATGATTTTAAGTCTTCGAATGAACCCTCCGGCATCATTGATATTTGATTTCCATGCAAAGAAAGTACCCTCAAATTATTTAAGCCAGCAAGTGCATGCCTTTGGAGACATTGCAAATTGTTGAATGATATTATTCTAAAATTAACGACAATTTTAATAAAGTGACTATGACATAGTTCCAGTTCTTGCTGGAATCACACAAAGAAAAATTTTATGAGACATTTAAGAGTGTGTAGTACAGCGGAGACTCCTCTCTCTTCTCGTATATAAACTCAAATATTTTTCATGAAAATTTTCTACGTATGTCTTTGGATATACTTACAACGTAGAAAGTTTCGTTAAATTTGCAAACGTGTAGTCCGACAGTATATTAATTTTATTGTTACTCAAATCGCTAAAGAATGAAATGGAAGAAGTAGTTAATTTTCTGGAGACTAAAGCAAATAAAGCTATTACTTACAGACGTGAAAGAGACTTTAAGTGACGAATGCGATCACTATGTATCATGGAAATGTCATTGGATTCCAGGTAGAGTTCAGTTGTTTCACTTGGTATTCCACGAGGAATTTCTGTTAGGTTGTTTCGAGAACAGCGTACAACAGTGCCAGTGCATGTGCACATTGGTGGACAATAATCATCTCCCAAGCAGCCATCATTATTGTCCGACGTACATTTAAACTCGTGGTGGGGTAATTCTTGTATTTGCACATCACGAACCTTCGGCGGTGCAGCACAGCGAGCAGCGCCTCCATTCAGAGCTTTTTTCCGCAGCCAATCGGAGAACCATGCCAAATGACAATTGCAGTTAAATGGATTGGATGCAAGGTTGCTGTAAAACATTGTTCATTGTCAAAAACATTGTACTTGTATTGGCAGGATATATTAAGATCAGTTCAACGACTTTATAATACCCTACACCACTTTGGGAGAATTAAATCAAACAAGCTATGATTATAATTATAATTTAAAGTTCAAAGGACTAAATATGCCGAAGCATTGATATCTTTTCAATTCGGGCTTGTATTGCCCATTTGATGCACAATTAACTTGAAATCGGATAACGATATATATGGGAGCTATATCCAAATCTGAACCGACCTCGATAAACTTTAGTAAAAGTATTTCTAAGTTCTATTTTATATATTTCCCCAAATATCGTTGTTACAGAGTGCATATTACGGCTGCGGAGGGCAAAAATAATAAATCGGATGAAAAATATATATGGGAGCTATAGCTATATCTGAACCGAACATACTATTTGGGCTGATATTATACGTTTGGTGTCAGAGGCATTAAAACTTATAGAGACTTTCACACATCAAATTCCATTATATCGAAAATAATGAACATATACGTAAATGTGGACTAACTATACCGATTTCTGTCAGTAATATTAATTACGTACTTCAAGCCCCAAATTTCAAATAACTCCGTTGACCGTGGACCGATTTATTTCTTTAACTTGACCTGTCTATAGACCAGTCTTTCCTAAAGTATTGGTGGGTTCGCTAGTGGGTCGCGAGAAAATATTGAGTGGGCCCCGAAATTTGGGACGGATTAGATTCTTCTTTGTGGACAGAAGATGAAATGTTACGAGGAGTAATTGATAGTAAATTCTGCACTATACAACTTGATGAATCTTATGACGTTCACGGCATGCCTTATGTTTGTTCGACATATATGGCAAGAAAATGTGCATGAAGTATCAAGAAACTCCCGAATATATAATTGAACATCTACGGGACAAAGAGTTCGTGCTTAAATTAAAATATTTGACGGATATATATTTTTTTTCAAGTTAAACGAACTTAACTTGCATCTGCTTCGTTCAAACGAATCGGAAAATTTTGAAAGTCACGACAAAAGCGGTATCACCACCCGCCAATCGCGAAAAAAAGAATCTTCTACCGTTACAAGCAGGGGGCAAAAAGCAAAAATCAGCAGCGTTTTAGTGGAAACGTTTTAGATAATAAAATTATTTTTAAAAATCAAAAAGATGAAGAGTATGTATATGTATATACACATATCTAACACTATTAAATAGTACACTTTTCATTTTGGAATTCGGTCTTATGTGCCCAAATTCTATTAGAGAAAATTTTACTCATTTTGTGAATGTTAACTATAAAATTTGAAAGTTATATCCTAATTTGAACGCAAAGTTCCAAATTGTTCGTATTTGACCGAAGAAATGAGACGTTTGTTACTTCTACTGTAATATTGATGCAATTATGCAATCAGGGAACAACAAAGTTAAATACCACAGCTACCATTTTAAAAGCTGTAAAACTACATTTAACTATATTATAGCCTTCTTGCTTGCTTTACTTTCATATTTGTTGTTGCAGCAGCTCATACTGCTGTGTTCGATCTGACTCCTCTCGATCTGGTACAGGTTGGGTCCACAACGAGACTGGTGTAAGGTGAGTTGGTTTGGCTGGGCAGCGAAATGGGTGTAGCGTTTCATGTGGGCCTGTGCCACATGCTGGACAGATGCAGAACATCTGCTGTCAATCCGGGCCCAATAGGAATTGAGGCGGCTGTACCATCCGGATCTTAATTGAGCCAAAACTACTCGGGTTTGTCGGGGCCGCTCAGCTGTGATGGGAGGGGGTGGTCTCCTATTACAGCATTCACTCTATATCCTTCCATAACTTCTGAGACCGCGTTAGAGTGAATACTATTCAGTCCCGTTTGATAGACCTTTTGATCTAGAGTCTCTTTTATACCTGAGCGGAGGTTGCCTATTCACCATATGGTGATTCGGATGGCTCTGTCGGTAACACCCAAGCAGGTATTGCATTGACAGCATTTTATTATGCTGTCGCACCGATAAGACCTTCGCCTCCTCTTGTAGGTGTCGACAGGTGCCATGAGGAGGCACCCTGATGCGGTTCTATGGGCGGCATTCTGGCAGAACGGAATATTTTTCCACTGCCGGTATATCGCGTTGTAAGAGGTCAACAAAGTTTCCTTATCAGCTACCCAAGTAGTGCCGGGCAGAGGCTTGAGAACCTTGCTCCTATCGAATGTGACCCCTAAGACTTTGGGTTAGTTGGTGGTCGGAATTACAACTTCATTGACCGGCACATTCAAAGATAACCTCATCTCCGCAGTCCATGTGGTGAAATGTGTGGCGGATATCTTCATATCCTTCACAGTGTAAAAATCGGTTAAATCAACTATGTAAGCATTTAACCAATCGCATATGTCATCTATGATGGGTCCGGACGCCACGAGCGTACGTACAATCATATGCGTACATTATTATCTCTATGCCGTGTGGAGGACTTGGAATGTCAGAAAGGTAGAGGTTAAACAGTTCCGGAGATATCACCCCACCTTGGGAAACTCCGTGCTTTACTCTACGGAAACTCGATTTCTTGTTTCTGAATTTCTGAAACGTTTCAAACTTGGCCTCAAAGGCTTTTGATAAATCAAGTGCCACCATAACTGTTCTGTCACAAGGCCTGTTCTGGTTGAGTCCTTTGCCGACACGTGTGGAAATGGCGTGTATAGCTGTTGTTGTGATATGTGATTTTCGGAATCCGTGTTGATGACCAGCTACTTGGAAACACTGTCTTATGCTGAGGAGGAGTAGAGCATCAAGCGTCTTTGCCACTGGTGACAAATGTGATATCGGCCTGTATGAATCACTTTTGCTGGCATCTTTGCCTGGCTTCAGTAGCCCATTTTCATATTTGTCAATTGTTGTGGTGTCATATCAGTCTTTTGAAAATTGCGCGCTAAGGACATCGTTGACACGAAATCTTATATTGACTTTATTTTCTGCGAAAGAATGTAATGCTTTTTGTGCGTCGATTCTAATGGGAAACAGAGTGGTCCGCAATATATAGAGAGCCCTCTTGATGTCTTGCCTTTATTGAACTTAATTTCAATTAATTAAATCATCGAACAAGTAACGTTGTGTCAAGCCCAACATATAAAGTTGAAGTTATCGCCGTCTCGTACCGATACAAAAAACAGATACCCCATGGAGACATGCATACACATATATGAAACTACTTATAACCACTTAAGCACAGTGCCGCTAGGAGAAATGATGCTATGAAGTTAGTTTCTGTTGTGTATGCTGCGGAAGATGATAATGACGAAAGAGCAATGTGGGGGGAAAGAAAGTTTTTGTTACAAACAAAAGGCAAGTAAAAAGCAACATTAGACCCATCAAAATACAATTAAAATCGATGCATGATTTTATACAGAAATGTATGTACATATACGTGTGGGCAACTTTCCGAACTTTATTCGTTGATGGAAGCCTGTTAAAGTTAGCAATTTCGATATTGTAGCAGTGTGTACTTTTGGGGTAGCTGGACTCTATTTTTATGCACAGGAGGTCGTTTTTTAAAATCACATGTAACAATCGAAACCATTAACCCCAATTTAATTCGATCAGAACACACGTATAAGTAGCTGCAATTAAGGAGAACATACACACAAAACATTTGCTCGCAAACGTCCACACAAAAACAGACATTTTAAATGCAATTAAGAGAATCTTCTCGCTCGCCTTCTCGCCAAATTCAAAGTGATGTTAAACACGTAAAAGTATAAACTAGCACAAAACATAATTACTTTCGTCTGTATGTATGTATGCTCGTGGATACATACATGCATTCATACGTACATCGTACACATACATATAGCAATGACATTTAAGTGGCTGGTATACTTACAGGGACGAAAGTGATGTTAGAAACTCAAAGGATCCCGGCATTACACAAGAAATTTGATTGTCGTACAGATTCCTGTTGAGAATTCAAGTAACAGTAGACCGTTTGCAGGGTGGGGAATGGAAAGAAAATTCAATAATTGATACATTAGTAGTCACGTAATGGGACTAATTGTTTGCAACACCGCTACTTACAAAGATTTTAGCTGATGGAGACCCAAAAACATTTTGTTGGAGACTTCTTTAATTTTATTTTCGGCTAATTGCAGATCCTGTATGTGGGAGGCACCTTCAAATGCGTTCGCATCTATGCTATTGATTTTGTTTCGTCTCAGATCCAATTTCACCAAATGGGGCAAGCGGCCAAATAAACCGTCCGATGTTATTCGTCCCAAATCATTGTCATTCAGCAACCTAATAGGCAAATATTAAACGATTATTAGCTCACGCGTTTCCACAAGCAATATTTGAAATGGATTTGAATTATTACAGTTCGGTGGTGTGCAAAGGTATGTCACGTGGTATTTCCTTAAGACCTCGACCGGAGCAATCCACAATTGAGCCGTCACACTGACACTGTGCGGGGCAATCTGTGTCCAGACGACACTCTCCAGAGAGTTTCATTCGCATCTCATCCCAAGAACCTAAACACCAAAGAAAAAAGAACAAGCAACAGCAAATTGTATTACGTTGATCACACATAAGTAACGATGCATATGCATGTAACATAAGGATACATGTACGGCGATGCTTGAATTGGAGTAAACAAAAACAAAACAACTCACACTTGAATTTTTCCTCCCGCAATGTCTCAATACGTCGACGATGCATGCGCTTGGGCGATTCACACCGAGCACCACTTGTTTCAATTGGGTTTTTGTGCAAGTAGTCGGCCAACCATCTTAGATTACAATCGCAAATAAAAGGATTCTTTGCCAGATGCCTGTGGGTGAACGATAAGATGATGTTCTTTAAGTAGATTTGCAAGTGTTGTTTGGGAGGAGGTTTATGGTTTATTTTCAACAAAAAAGCGAATGTGTGTAAAAAGAGCAATAGATTGTTTATTTCACGTAGTGTCATACATAAAATCCCAATATACCGTGCCTACAACTCGACGATGCGCACTTAATATTTGTATTAGGGTTTCCATTATTGATTAGCCAAATAGGGCTCTATAATTTAACATGACCCAGGAGAAGATTTAATTAAAATAGGTATGCACGATAACCCAATATTTTGTACAAAATATTACAAAATGTTTTTCGATCATAGACAAATGAAAATTAGACTATGAAATCGGATCAAAAAATCGGATCAGCAGTTGTCGTCTATGTCGTTTCAGGTGTGTGAGTGAACATATTAAAGTCACTCAATTCCAAAATGTTAAAACAATCAAACAAAAAGAGTTAGTACAAATTTGTTAAATAATAAAAAAAAGTGAAAATTACGTGATGACATCGAAATATACGAAAATAATCAACTGAAAATCCTGAAAAACGATGAAATGTTTTCGAATTCGAGTAGGTCGACTGAGTGAATCAGCATGTTGCCTATGCGAAAGCGTGCATAAAAAACTAACTTTTCGTTGTCTATAAATTAATTAGTACATACCAAAAAAACATTTTCAATAAAAATATAATGGTTCAACCGTAACAGAAGAAGAGAACAGCTGGCCTTACCGTGTCGCCTTTAAAATAAGCCTTGAACCAATTTCACAAAGACACTCAGGGACCGAATTCAGGCCTTAGTCTTTTCTTGCGGTTAAAAGTTTTTTTGCCGATGGAAGAAAAATGTAACAAATGTTTCTCAAATTCTTATTTACAGCGTTACCTAAAATTCGACGTATTTCACCACACACATATAAAACACATATATTTATACGAACGTCGGGCGTAAAAATTTCAAGTTGAACAAAATTTGACAACTTCAACAATAATAACTGAACAATGTAAACTTTTGTAATTGGAAAAAAATTACAATTGGAAAATTTTAAAAAGGTATAAATTTTTACAACGTTTTTAGTTGGTAGATTCTAAGATATGGGTATTTGGGTAATATGTCCATACAAATCATTTTGCCATAGTGGGGAAGTTGAATATTTGTATACGCTACGTTGAATTTTGGGTAACACAGGTAAACGTGTATATTATCAAAATATTTTTATTTAATTTTGGCACTGAGTAGAAATATTTAACTGGATAAGTATTTTTGCAATGTTTATTGTATCGAAAGCAAAAATATATGATATTTTATTTATACTATTGCTCTTGTTTTGGGCCCTAGTATACTGGAATTTTGAACAATCATCTATGTGATGGAGAAAGATCAACACGTGACTCTAGAATTATAACAGTGCTATTGACATTTGGGTATTCACTTTATCACGAAACATCTCAACAATAAACGCACATTAACTAGAATGTCTGTTCAATGACTATAATTCGTAGGAGTACTTTTGTAAATGTGACAAAAACAGAGGATTAACATACATATTTGCACATTCACGTCCAACAGATGCATAGGGGATGCACCCGTGTCTTGAAAACAAAATACTTACAATGTCTGAATGCTCTTCATGGCATCAAAAGTCCCATTTGCTAGCGTCTGGATGTTGTTGTCGTACAGGGATAGTAAGCTAAGGCTATGCAAGTCGCGAAAAGCATCCTTGCGTATACATGAAATCTCATTGGCATTTAATAGCAGCAGCTGAAGTGATGAGAGTCCTTTAAAAACGCCCGAGGGTAAATCCTTTATTTTATTGCCATACAAGACACTGGAAAGAGAAATAAGAATACAATAAAAGAAAACATGAAAAACATATCATTGAACGGTGAAAAATATCGTTTGTCATTTGCAGATGAACACTCTGCATTCGAAGTAGAAGTGAATCCGCGCAACCACTCAAACTGGTTTCAACCATGCACATGTGCTCACAAACAATCCGATATGCATAACATACACACACGGATATATGTGTAGTTTTTTGCACATCATATTCATAAGTGTTGTGGGGTGGGAGCAGATATACACCATAAATGCTGCACTTTATGTCCTCCGCCATACGTTGGAGAGTATATTAATCCATTCATTCCGTTTGTACCTTCTCCATATACTCATGTTAGACCCTACAAAGTATTTATATTCTTCTAAGTCGATTTAGTGATGTTCGTTCGTTCACGATATCTTTCGAACAAATTGAGAAAGTAGGCTAAAATTTTTAACATATTTGTACATTCTCAGTTGGCAGGCAAAGAGTGATTAAGGGCATATCATCAACAAAATTGTTTAAAAATTGGTATTTGAATCTCGATATTGACAAAAACTTCTGTAGCAAGAAAATGAGTATGTAGTTGGTCGTTTTGGTGCAGCACTAATATAACGGTATCGCCCATTTTATGTTATTTTGAAGACTTTTAATGCAATCTCCACCCGATTTCGCAGCCAAAAATTAAACTAGCTCGAATATGACATCCTGAAGTTTTTTCACCGGAATTGTTTCAACTTTGGCATTTTAAGTTCGAAATGGATACTTCAGCCTATGACAGAAAATTATCTGTACGGGTCAACGTCTTCGTATTTCCCCCATATAACGGTACCTCCCGATATTCGGTATTGTGATGATTTTAGCGACATTATTCACCGGAATTGTTTTAAATTTGGTATTTGAAGTTCGTATTGAATACTACAGCATAAGGCAGAAAATTGTCTGTGCAGGTCCATGTCCCCATATAACGGTACCTCCCAAAATTCGGTATTTTGATTATTTTAGCGTAATTATTCACCGGAATTGTTTCAAATTACGTATTTAGAGTTCGTAATGGGAACTACAGTCTGTGACAGAAAATTGCCAATGCAGATTCAGGTCTTCGTATAGGCCCCATATATCAGTACCTCCTATATTCTGTATTTTGACGAGTTTAGGTACAATACCCACCGAAATTGTTTGAGATATCGTATTTGACGTTAGTAAGGGATGCTATAGCCTGTGACAGAAAATTGTCTATGCTGGTCCAGGTCTTCGCACAGCTCCGATATAACGGTGCCTCCCTATATACGATATTTTGATGATCTTTTTATGATTTTAATGATTTTATTTTTTGAAAATTTCCAAATTCGTTCCAAATGATGGATGGTATTCAATGTTCGGCCCGGCCGAACTTACTGCTTTTTAACTTGTTACTTGTTAGTTATTCCTCTTCGCGTGTTTGTGGGACACTGTTGGAAACACTTTACATCATTGCATTCATCATATGCAGTATGCAAAGCGAATCTTTTCGAATACTAAATAATGCCTGTTTTTGATTGAAAGAAAAATTCTCTACATGCTAAGTCAAATTTCGTATATAAATATTATATTGACCCAGGTAGTCATATACTAAAACAATACAAATGTTAATAAAATAAATATGTATTTTAATCTAATATTAGAAAACTACTTTCTTTATTCCATCCACTATTCCGTTTCTGACCACTGACCCCTTAAATATGTCGATAGTTATGTTCATCTGTCACTTGTGTATCTGTTGAACTGCGGAAATAGTATTCGCAATTAAGAAAATTCTTTGAAACATCGTTCGTTCATTGACACTTCTCCCGGAATAATTAGTATTGAAATGGTGAAATAATATGCACATCAAATTAGATCTAATTAGATCATTAAGGCTTTTCAGTGAAAGACTTCTTCCACACAAGGAGCTATTTCACAGTACGGACATTTTTTCAGAAAACATTTAAATAAGTCCGATATAGTGAATATCCTTGAACAATTTTACTTAAAAAATTCGCAACTGCTGTGCAAAAAGTCCATGGAAAGTGCTTCTTAAAAAATCACGACTGCTGTCCCTAAGGTCCATGGCTGTCTTAAAGTACTAAAAGTCTTCCAAAAATACTTTTTAAAATCCAAAAATTACGACTGCTACGGATATTTGATGTATAGGACACAATTAGTTTTATTTGAGGATTGTCAATCTAGCTCTTTTAAAATATCATCGTGTGTTCCTCAAGGAAGTCATCTTGGACCGGTTCTTTTTCTCTTAAAACGATTTGCCGACTTCAATAAAATATTCCCAGTATCTGATGTATGCAGATTATTATGTATGATATTTTTAAAACACAAGTCCAGTGAACAGTCAGATTTATTGCAATATGACCTCAATAACTTGTTTTCATGGTGCTATCAACATTTCATGGACCTAAATTTTAAAAAATGTAAACATATGTGCTTTTCACGATCTACTCCTTTATCAACTGAATATAATATTAACGGGATCCTAAATTATCTTTTAATAATCATATTATATCAATGGTTAATAACACTAATGGTGTTTTAGGATTCATAAAACGGTGGGCCAAAGAATTCTCTGACCCGTATATTACCAAGCAATTATTTGTATCACTTGTTCGGCCTATACAAGAATATGCTTCAGTCGTATGGGATTCTAATTATGCCATCTACTCCAATAACATTGAATCTTTGCCAAAATAATTTCTGCTTTTTTTGCCATATATTGGCAGACTAAAATTAATTATATTACCTACATTAAAAATCAGGCGTATTATGTTCAATACCATAATGGCGTATAAAATCTTAAATGGTAACGTGCCTTCGGACTCTCTTATTTCTACTTTCAGAATTAATATCTCATTCAGATTAAGCAGGTATTACCAAATTTTAAATACTGATTTTCACCGAACTAATTACTCTTTGGGTGAACCTATAAGTAGAATGTGTCTAGACTTCAATTCTTTGTATGATGTCGTCGTACAACAATAGATTTGTTTCACCGGCTGATGAAATATTTTCTGTAGCTGGTATTTCAATGCCTACTAATTTTCCACCACGATGGGAAAAAGTGGCATTGGGAACGTTCGATAATAAAAAAACCACGATTGCTGCCCTAAATGTCCTTGGAAAATTCTTCTTAAAATATCTACGATTGTTACCCTTATGTATCGTAATTTTTATACCCTACACCACAAAGTGGTAATTATACCCTACACCACAAAGTGGTAAGGGTATTATGTCTTTGTGCATTTGTTTGTAACAGGCAGGAGGAAACGAGATAGACCCATAGTTCCTTTTGATGATCTGCATAGAATCACATTCTGAGTCGATTTATGCATGTCCGTCCGTCCGTCTGTCCATGTATTTTTGTAAACAAAGTACAGATCGCATTTATTGCCCGATCCAGATAAAATTTTGTAAAGATCTTTTGTTTGGCCCAAGGACGAACCCTATTGAAATTGGAGATAATCGGTAAAAATTTAGATATAGCTATATATATCTTCGTCCGATTTGCCTTTTATTGTGCACCAAACGTGTAATATCAGCCCTAATTGTATGGAATTTTGCACATACCCCCAAATTATGCCCGAAAATATGTATGCCAAATTTGATCGAAATCGGTCCAGATATAGCTATAGCTCCCATATATATTGTTCATCCGATTTGTTATTTTTGTCCACCGCCGCCGTAATATGCACTCTGTAACAACAATATTTGGGGAAATATATCAAAAACATCTCAGAAATACATTTGCTAAATTTTATCAAGATCGGTTCAGATTTGGATAAAGCTCGCATATATAACTTCGTCCGATTTACTTTTTATTGTGCACCAAACGTCTAATATTTGTCCAAATGGGATGCAATTTAGCACATGCGACCGAATTGAGTTAAGAAGCTAGTATGCCAAATTTGGTGAAGATCGGTTCAGATATAGCTATAGCTTCCATATATATTATTCATCCGATTTGTTATATTTGTTACCCACAACCGTAGTATGCACTCCGTAACAACGATATTCAGGGAAATATATAAAATACAGCTCAGAAATATCTTTGCCAAATTTTATCGAGATCGGTTCATATTTGGATATAGCTCCCATATATATCTTTATTATTTCAAATTAATTGTGCACCAAATGGGCAATAAAATTCCGAATTTAAAAGATACAAATGCTTCGGCATATTTAGTCCTTTGAACTTTAAATTTAATTATAATCATAGCGTGTATGATTGAATTCTCCCATAAAAACTTTTAATTGTTATGTGGAGCTCTACTTAATTAGCAAAGTGGTGTGGGGTATCATAAAGTCGGCCCCGCCCGACTTTAAGACTTTCTTTACTGGTTTTATTCGCAATTGTGGTCCAAGTGTTCCTTGAAAAAGTTTTATTAAAAAATCTAAAAATATCCACGACTGTTATCCTTACGTTTCGAACAATATTTTTTTAATTCGCAATTGCGTTCCCATTGGTCCTTGAAAAGTCTTATTTAAAAAACTGTTTCATAAAGATATTTTTCTTACAAAATCCACGACAGGTGCGATAAAGGTGCTTTGTGCCTTCTTAAAAAAATATTTGAAGGATTTTTCTAAAATCATTGGAAAAACATTTTAAAAAGCAATTACTACATATTCGAATTCGCGTTTTCCAGCGGGAGTGACTGTAAAATGATGTTTTAAAATCTTAATAGGAATCTTAATAAAACACATCCTCAAAAAATTATCAACGCTAGTCCCACTAGTGATTATGTTTTATAAATACACATTTATTATAAATACTTACAGTGTGGTTAGTGCTCTTAGACCACTGAGTGCATCGTGGGCTATTCTTGAAATGTTATTGTTAGACAAATCGATTCGCCTTAAACGTCGGAAATTCGCAAACGCCTTCGGAGGAAGTTCGGTAATGAAATTTTGCTCAAGACGCCTGAAAAAATACAATTAAAAAGAGCACGCAAGCACATATAAATTTGACAGAATAAGGAATACAAATTCAAAAATTAGGATTGGTCAGTTGCAATTTCGTACTTCTTCATTCATTCATTGTACCATGGTATCAACATAGAACAATGATAATTCCACAAAATAAAAAGGTAAAAAATTATATGTTTTAATATCAGTGAACCATCCTAATTTTACATTGAGTCGGCTGATTCTTATGTTACGTGAACTTACAATTCTGTGGTATCTTCTGGCAGTGTAGCAGGGACCGCAGTTAAGCTCTTTTCGCGACAGTCAACAATGCCATCGGCGCATCTGCAAGGATGGGGACAACTATTCTCTAAGCCACATTCTAGCGGTGCATGTTCAGTTAGACCTAGAAAAAAGCAAATTGTCACTGCCTTGTTTTGGAACAATTATTGAATTATTTTTGTAACTGGCCTTGTCAAAAACAATTGCAAATACGCTTATCTTTTAAAATTGTGTTGAAATTTTAAATAGACAAAAAAGTATAGTTGTGAAACAATTATAAACATATGGATGTACGAGGTTATCTCTACTATTCTGCCATGCTGTTTTTTGAAGTCAGACCCACTTCTTACAAATGTTATCAAAACAAGTAAGAAGTCGTTATAGCCCGTTTTCTTTTTTAATTAGTTTTAGCATTGCAAATTTGAGAACATCTCACGAACATCTGAGTTTAAAATGCAAAACCATGTAAAATAAGCAAGGCCAGTATCATATGATGATATATGTTTGCAGGCGTTTTCTTTTTACCTGAACACTTGAACTCCTGGTCATGCAAATCGGCAACATTTTGTCCCTTAAGTTGTGAGGGCGATTGACAGCGGGTATATGGCGCGAGTCGGGGGGCATTGCGGAGAAATCGCGACAACCACGACAAATGACAATCACAGGAGAACGGGTTATCCGATAGCCGCAGAGCTCGCAATCGATTCAGTCCATTGAATATATTGTGTGGCAATGAAGTTAAATTGTTGTTGTTGAGTGTGCTGCAGGTAATAGTAAATGCGACATATTAGTAAATTTTTAAGCAAAAACTTTTGTTTTTGTACTTACAGAATTTCCAGATCGGCCAACCCTTTGAACGCATGTTCATCCAAGCATGTGATCTGATTATTGTCCAACTGGAGGCTACGTAAAGATTGCGCCCCTTTGAAAACTCTGCGACCTACAGTTGTAATCGCATTATTCGACACATCCCTTTACAAAAATAGACAAAAGTACTTTTATTAGTTGTGGGAAAAATGATCGCACGCTCTCGGAATGCACTGCATTTAGAGGGCAAGGCAATAAAATCTAAAACCATTCACCAAGCACTCGAACAAAGTTTGGAGTCGAGAACTTGTAGCGTAGCTAACAACATGTATGCGCATTGACTGCCAGGACCCCGAGAAACTCCGGTGGCCTGACTCGCTCGTCTGTTGTAAAGCCCCATACAAGTTTCCGACATTTCCAATCGTGCTTTTGCAAAGTGATCATGGCATAAAAAACTACTTACAATCGCAAAAGACTCGCTGAACTTGTGACAAAGTTATCAGGTATTGCCTTTAGTCGATTGTTATTAAGGCGTCTGCAGTCGTAAAAATGCGTAAAGATGTGAAGAGTTGCGTGCAGATAATCGAAAGTAAACACAAATAATATAAAAATAAACAAAACGTAAAAACAATTAAATCAATTGCATTCTAATTGAAAATGTTACCAAATCAATAATAAAATAACTCCACTACAGACAGGTAAGTAATGAAATACTGAATAATTAATCTAAGAACAAACAAGTTTCATTCATATTTTAAGATCGATGGAAAGCTTCAAAAATATGTAATACAAGAATGCATGTGCATGTGTACAGATTCACTTTGATTCCGTACACACGCGACCAACTCAAACATGCTAGTGATCAAGGACCGACACTTACAATCTCTCGAGGGAAATTAGATCCTGTAGGGAGCCTTTCTCAATGGTATGAATTTGGTTGTCTGTCAGTTGACTGTAATCGAAAAGTAGAAATCACTTTAGAATTTAAGGGAGTTGTAGCATAACATCATACTCACAGTATTCTGAGTTTTGTTAATCTTTGAAAATCGGACTCGAAAATCACAGTTATATTGTTCCCCTGTAGGTCTCTGAAAAAAAAAAAACACAGAAAAAGAAATTAAAAATAAGTTAAAATAAATAGTACATTTACAAATAATTGTTATTTTTTATTTAGTACTGGCTGGCTAAAATGCATTAGTTATGAATTTTCATTCCCTCTACCAACATTGTCGAGGCTCGAACAAATCTCTATACTCGGAGACCAAGCAGGCCCACCGTACGATCCACCCCAATAGAGACCCAGGAGATCGATGAGGAGTTTATCGACCTCGACCTCTAAGGTGCGGTAATCGAAGAGGACTCATCACTAAGTGCGAAGTTCTAAGAAAGCATCGACTTGATCTTACGTCGCAACCAACAAACCTTTTAAAATTAATAAATCTGTCGACTGGCAAAATAAACAATTAAATAATGCCAAAAGTTTTTCTTTTCGTCGTGTCTTGTGTGTCTAAGTATAATTTCGTATACTTGTTGCGTTCATTTAGTTTCGGTGTTGTGTAGTTGTTGCATTTACCGCCAACAACAAATTTCCTGTAATTTAGAACCAATAAAACAGATCCCTCGTCCTTGTGGGAAGTCTTTACAAACATCTTTTTTTTAACATTAAAAAAATTAATTTTAGAACTGTTTCATATTTTCATGTGGATTGTTTTTAAAGAGGTTAGTCAAAAATTCTAAGAAAAAAATTGGTGGATGGAGTAGCCTCTAAATAATTGTGCTCTCGAAGCTGGAATTATGTTTGGTTAAAAAATGAAGCCATCATCTTGTACAAAATTATTAGTTTGTGAAAGTTTTTTTGTGCTGTTAAAGCAGAATTTTGTAACCATTTGATATATAATTTTGTTGGGTTATAAGATTCTAATCTTTTATTTCTATTTTATTGAGCGTTCATTAATTGTTTTCTTATTGTTGAGGCTGTTGAGTTGAATGCAACACTCATCTGTTCTTATACCCTCCACCATACTGTCAAGGGTATATTAAATTTGTCATTCCGTTTGTAATTCTTCGAAATACTCATGTTAGAACCTCCAAACTACATATATTCTCGATCACTTAAAATTTTAAGTCGATTTAGCGATGTCTGTCTGTCTGTTGTAATCACTCCATCTTTCAAACGAATTGAGATAAAGGCTAAAATTTTGCACACATGTGTATTTTGAAAGTAGGAGGGAAACGTTCGTAAATGGGCATGTCGGTCCAAGTTTTCGTATGGCCCTGATATAACGGTATCTTCCAATATTCAGAATTTTGATTATTTTAGCGACATTTTTTAGCGGAATTGTTTCAAATCTCGCATTTAAAGTTCGTAATGGGTCCACGTCTTTGTATAGTCTCCATATAACGATGTCTTACGATATTCGGTATTTGGATGATATTAGCGACATTATTAACCGGAATCGTTTCAAATTTCGTATTTTAAATACGGAATTGGTACTACAGCCTATGACAAAAATTACTTATGCAGGACCACGTCTTCGTATAGCCCCGAATAGCGATATTTTTCGACGGATTTTTTTTGTGCTCTGAAATTTTTAAAAGTTCCTTCCAAATGGTGGAGGTTATTAAAAGTTCGGTCCGGTCGAACTTAGTTGCTTTTTTGCTTATTATTACTTATATTTGTATATTTATACCATACAACACTATGTGTTGGGGGTATTATAAGTTTGATTGGGCCAAAAATTATGTAACACCTCGAAATATTGGTTTCCCACATAGAAAAGTATATATGGATCTTCCTAGCTCGCCGAGCTGAGTCGATCTAGCTATGTATGTCCGTCCGTCCGTCTGTCCATGTTAATTTGTAATCACTCTACAGGTCGCAATTATGGCCCGATCTTCACGAAATTTAGAATGGAGGTGGGGCTAGAGTCAGAATAGAACCCTATTTCTTTTGGAGATGATCGCATAATATTTAGGGGTTGAAATGGACCAAAAACTGAAAAATTTCTTGATTTTCCAGTTGCTCTACAGGTCGCAGTTATAGACCAATCGACACGGAATTTCGCATGTAGCTAGAGTTTAGGGCGGGGAAGAAGCCTACCAATTATGGTGGTCATCGGATAATATTTAGCGGGTAAAATAGACCATGTTTTTTGTGTTGAAAAAATTCAAAATTTTTCATTAAACCGCGAATATTTTAAATCCCGGCGAAATCACAAAGCCATGACAAGGTTACTTCTGACCTTTAGATTGATGTTAACATCCAACAAATCGGATATATAGCAAAATATGTGCGATATATATGTCTATCAAAGAAGATATGCTTGAAAGGTCTCTTATATGTCGAGAACGAGTGAACTGATTTCGGCAGGAAAGAAAACCCGTCTAAAAAAGTCGCATAAAAATATCTCTCTAAAGATGAAAACATTGATTTTGTAACATTTTCTCATATTTTTTCAATTTTGTCATATTTTTGGCATATTTTCATTTTGAATTAAACATTTGGTAATATTTCTACAGCTAACAAAACTAAGTAGTTAGGATATCAGGATATCATATACAGATCGCATTTATGGCTCGATCCTTACGAAATTTTGCATGGGGATAAGATGAGGGTCAGAATAGAAGCCTACTCTTTTTGGAGATGATCGCCATATATTTAGGGGTTGAAATGGACCAAAAAACTGCAAAATTGTCAGCCTGTCGTATTTATCGCCTGATCCTCACGCACATTTGAATGGGGGTTACCGGACATTGCAAAAGCCAAACAGTTTTGGATGGCCATCCAAAAATATTCAATGTGTGAAATAGTTTGCCAACTTTTGTAGACAAAACACAAAAATGTCCATTCCAGTGACTTTTTGAAGAATTCACAAATAAAGGAAAGATGCACTTCTGACTATTTCGGTAACGCTGATTTCGTTAAGGAATATAGTCAAATGTCTGTATCTCATATAGATGCGTTTCAGTCAAAAACCAATAATAAATGTTAATCTTTTGCCACTTCTGAGAGATTATAGGTCTTTGGGAAATATTGGTTCCAGATCTAGGAAGACCGTTTACATGCAACATCTACCAATAAATTGGAAATGAGCAAATTAGTTTAAGTTGCTATTATTCGAAAATTAGAGAACGAAACCTGATGGTTTTCTTTTATTATTTGTTACAATATCTTGTGGAATTCTTTCGAGTATCTCGCATATATAAACTGTATCGTTTATTATAGTGTTGTAGGGTATTCAACGGTCGGCCCCGCTCGACTGTAGCCTTTGCTTACTTGTTTTTCAAGTAAAATTTGTATCCCTAACATCTTTTATGATCGAAGCCTACCTAACCCCAGTGCAGTTTCTATAATGCTTTCATGTAATGGATCTACCGGATTTAGGGCACTTTTGGCATTACGCGCTTTTTAAATGAACTTTTTGAAATGTGGATCGGATTTTATCTACTTTTTTAAAATTCTCAAAATACGTAAGTACTCGTTTAAAGAAGTGGACTGCTTATTGAAGTACCAGGAATAGAATTTGTATTGGATCGTCTATCTGCAGCCAATTTTTAATATCACATATAAAACGGTACATTGCTTGAGGAATTCCTAACGTTGCATACTTGACAATGAAGGCATATCGCGTTTTTAATCACTATGTAAATATGATTTTGCCTTGTCATTTGTTTGCGATACTAATAATAGCATCTCTGACGGAATGTTCAAAATTCCACATTTAGAGTTCATAATGGGGTTTACCTCTGGTGGCAGAACATTGTCTACATTGGTCCACGTTTTCCTCTAGACTTCATGTTAAAGAACTTACACATCACATTTTTTAACGGATTTGCTTCAAATTCTGTGCGTGCATACATTCACATAAAAAGATTTATCGGAACAAGAAATTCATGTGCAGCAGTAAAAAAATTGGGTTGCTGAATTTAAACGTGGTCGTACAAACATTGAAGATAGCCCACGTAATGGACGCCCAAAAACAGCAACAACAATAGAAATTGTAGCCAAAGTGCATGATATGGTTTTAAATGATCGACGAATAAAAGTGCGTGAAATTACAAATATCATGGGATTCTCAAATGTCGAGTCCATTTAATATTGAATGAAGAACTACAGATGAAAAAGCTTTCTGCAAGATGGGTGCCGCACAGGGTTTAAAATGCTAACGCAAAATTAGCAATAGAACCGAAAATTTTCAGCTTTGCCTGCTAAAAAATCTTCACAAAATGTAGCCTATCAATGAGCTACGCCAATAAATAGCAACACATTACAAACAATTTAGCCGAGAGAGCTAATGCTACTTAAAATCGTCAGCAAGGACAAAATAGCAGTGAGCGGCTGAAGCTAAAATGAAATTAGCCTTAACATCAAAAAAGCAACATGACTACTGCTGCCAATGTAGATTTACCAGGTAACCGCATCGGCGAATTGCTACAACAAAGCAACTTTTGTGGCACCCTCAAATGTCAAAATTGGCACCTAAGGCGCCATGACATTTAAAGTTTGCGGCAAATTTGTTTCAAACAATCAGAAACGAGGTATTTGTTTACATTTTATGCAGTGTGTGAAATTAAGCCAAGTAAAAATACGACTCTCGGGGACCATTGCAACAGCCCCAAGTTGATAGTTATCCGCCGAAATTTTTATACAAGCCCACAACTGCAGTATCTTCTACGTCGTCGACAAATACCACTAATATTCCAGCCAATGTTGGTGACCGGAGGTTACACCGACTGCAACACATGGCACAACAGTAGCAAGTGTTCCGAATCAAATGGTTTTAAAGAAAGAACATAGCACCAATATCGCCACCAGTAAAAGCCCTTTAAGAATGCCCAAATTCCCCAAACCATACAAAGAGTTTTCACAGACCACAGAAGGCTGGTGGAGCTGCTGCTAGTGGAAGTTTGGATAAGACCAACTGAGTCATAGCTCTCGTGAAAAGCTGGAGCAGCAAAGTAAAATGGCTACACAACAGAGTCAGGCCGTAAAGGGCTAGCATTGACCCAAACAAATCAAAGAGGAGGATCCACGAATGCTGCAAGCCTTCATGGCAGCGGCTGCTGCAGCCGCCGGCTCCTCTGAGCC